TCCCAGGCCTGTAGTCAAAATAATAATAATTGCAAACATCATTATTTAAACTTTAACTTTTAACTTACTATACTTCAGAGCTTCTAGGTCAGCTACTTGCATTTTCTTGTGAAGCTCTAATGATAAATGACATGAGCAAAGCTGTCAGGCAGTGGCCAGAAAGTATCGAGTTAACCCTTATTTTAGTAGTTCTGTTTCTGCACATCGTACACAATGACTCTCCTAAGAGTTCCAGTGTTTTGACTTAGTTTTACTAGCATAAGATTTTATATATTCCATACTTGCTTATCCAAGAACCACTCTTAAATGTTGTGCAAAACTTACTTGGTAATTTCAATAGATTTTTTTTCCTTTCTTGGAATCCCAATGTTCGCTCTATTTCATTTTCTAATAATTTCTTCAAACTTTCTTTGCAAGTCAAACATTAATCTGGAACTACCTTTGTGCAGTTATTGCATTGTTTCCAAGATGAGAAAACACAGCATGTACCTGGGCCATTAGGACTGTGTTGCACTGTACCCCTATACTTCAGTTTTTAATTGTTAAGCATTACATCAAGGAACATCTAGTTTCACATAATTCACCAGAGCAGAAGGAGAAGGAAGTAAGAAAGTCAGATATAATAGAATAATTATACACACCAAGGCCAACTGAACAAATGAAATCTATATAGCCATGTCCAGGGCTAAGGTTAGGAGAAATGGGAACAACTGTTTTTTTATAAAGAGCTGCCGTGGGCTACTGAGATGTCTCCATCCCAGCCTGCTGCTCACAGACCCTATCATGGTATGCTGTCTCCAGCAACAAAAATGTTTAAAAAAAATCTTGAAGTTTTGAAGATATTTTCCTAAGTGGGTGTGTATGAGTATGTTTGTGTACACGTGTGTGATGTCTTCAGAGGCCAGAAGGGCCCAGATGACATGACGCCAGAGCCATAAGATGATTCTGTACCTCCTTATGTGGGTGCTGGAAAGCAAACTTCAGACCTCTGCAAGAGCAGTATAAGCTTTTAATCTCTCTAGCTCTGGCTCAGGGTTTTAATAATGTGCTTCAGTGCCACCTATAGCCTGGGAATGTCAAAGACACTGGACATTTGCAGAGCAGCCAACCCTACATAGTCATGGCCAGGTGTTTGGAAGGAGTCTTTTGAATGGCCAGACACAGTATACACCTTTAATTACCCATATCACCATGTGAAGAGTAGAACTCGAGCTCCAGAACACAAGCATTGTGAGCTTTGCCTCAAAGCAAACATACCTTGACAGGTAAATTTGATACAAGAAAGCATGTTCAAAGACTGTTGAGTAAAGAAGAAGCTTCAAAACCACACATATGACATAAAACAAGCTTTGACTAGTAAAATTACACCCAGCCACAAAGGTGATAATGCTGGGGTGGGGGGAGTCTTGACAACAGAGAAACACCAAGAGTACACGAAGTAATTAAACACCTAGAATAGGATGAGTGAAGAACACCTGGAATACACTCCATAAGAAATGCCAGAATACACAATGTAAAGCCTGTACACATAGCATACCCTCGGTGTTACAGATGGAGAGGAATGGGCTGGGAACCCTACCTTAGATCCTAGGCTTTCTTTCTTGTTGCCCTGACTGACAGTTGTGTGTCCTCAGTTGACTTCACCGCCTTTCTCTGTTTTAGTTTTTCTATATCTGCACAAGGACCTCGGGGATTAAATGAATTGTGTACACTGTATGTGGCCACTCAAAAATGTACGTATAAAATATGTGCAGAGAATAAGTGTTTAGTTCGTTCTGTGAGTGATGACTTTTATATCTTTGTACTCTATAACTTCCAAACTACTACAGGTGAAAATATACTGCTTTTGTAAAATTAGTCTTGTTGAAAGGATATGTAAGGAAGTGATGGTGGCCTGGGTAGAACGAATATTACCAGAAAAAAAAAAAAGCTGTCTGAGGTGTGGCAGATTTACAGAATCCTGTTATAACTTGGTTTGAAGTGAGATGATCAAAATGTCTGGCTTCACTGGAAGTTGGATCTGGAACCCAAGTCTCTAGACTAAGCAAGGACAGATGCAGGAGTCAGAAGCATGAAGCCTTACATTTATGATTGTACATAGGAATCAGATATACTGAGGGTGTGAGGAAGGAACAGGAGCTCTAAAAAAAACTGGAAATAATCTATGTGTCTCCAAGGATACAGTTTGGATCTTGAAAGGACAGAGACTGAAATGAAAAAGCTGGTCAAAGAAGTAACTACTGACTGCTTTCGTTTCTTTTGTTGTTTTGAGACAGTCTCTCACTTCTTATAGCCCTGGGGAAGGGGTGTCTCTAACTCACCCTCCTTCTACCTTGGCCATTCAGATTCTGAGATTACAGCTGGGCAGCTTCATGCCTGGCTGACAACAGGTTTGATGAAATGAAGAACACAAATTTGGTTGTGACTATTCTCAGATTTGCAAACTACACAACTGAGTGTGGTCTGTGGGGATTTTATAGTCTAAACCTAGAGCACGTGTCAGGGCAATGTCAGGAAAAAGAACAACTTTGGGGGTTTTATCGAATTAAAATATGAAGGTCTGACAAACAAACTTGTCGATGCTCAAAGAACAGACTGCGATAAGAAATGGCCAAAGGATGCACTGCAAGGGAGCCTGCTGCAATTTTAAAAGAAGGAAGTGCCACAGAATCCTTTCAGTAAAGAGCCACGGCTTCCCTTAACTCAGCTGTCGACAGCTGAATTCAAAATGGAGAAGGCAATGGTCTGATAGGAGTGTATTATGTATATATATGAAAATGGCAAATGAGTCCTGTGAGTTTTTTGATCACACACACACACACACACACATCTATCTATCTATCTATCTATCTATCTATCTATCTATCTATCTATCTATCTATCTATCTATCTATCTATCTAACATTTTTAAAAGGACGGGCTGGGGATATGCCTCACTTGGTAGAATGCTTGTTTAGGATGCAGGAAGCAATGGATTTAATCCCCAGCAGGACATAAAGGAGATGTGGTAGCATACACAGGAAGTGGAGGCAGGAATTTCAAGTTCATCCTCTGCTACGTACTGAGTTTGAGGCCAGTCTAGGAGTACATGAGATCTTGCCACAAATCTTATATTAAAGGAAAAGAAGAGATTTAGGGGAGATATCAGGAGGCATAAGGTTAGGACAGGAATCAAGAGATCTTTTGGGGTTTTCTAGAAAGACATTTCCAGTAACTATAACAGGAGTTTCTGAGGTATGAAAATACAGGAGCTTGAATCATTTTTTCCATTATTTATTTATTCATTTTACATCTTGATTGCTGCCCCCCCATAGGCCCTTCCCCCTTCCCCATTCCCCTTCTCCTCTGAGAAGGTGGGGGCTCCCCTGGGTACTCCCCTTCTGTGGCACAGCAAATCTCTGCAGGATTAGGTGGTCCTCTCCCACTGAGGCCAGACAAGGCAGCCCAGTTAGGGGAATGGATTCCACAGACACAGAATCCTGAATCTTTATTCAAGAAACCAGATTGGTCAGTGAGAGAAGAAAGCATTTGATGCTAGCTAGGGAAGATGGCTGAGCAGGGTCGTAGCTTAGCCAAGGTAAAGGATTCTATGAACATTTGAAAGCAGAAAAGAAGAGATTAAAGCTTTGGGAAAGTGGAGAAGAAACCTGACCAAGGACAGGGAAGAGATGCGGAGAGGCAAGAACTGCCAGTATTAATCCAGACATCTCTCTCCTGTGATAATGGAACAGTTTGTTGGCTTTGAATGACTTGAAGTTTTTTTAAAAGCCTTGGGATATTCACAAGTGCTCAAAAAACCCCATTTTACATGCATTTCTTGTTGTATAGAATAAATCATAGCAAACTGAGGTTCGTTTTTTAATTGCTTTGTATCCTGGAGTAACATGGTTTGAACCTTGCCACAGTGCTTACCTAGTACAGCTATCCTCACATCATAGGCTGAGTCATTATTTGCTTTCTGCAGATCTCTGCTGATGGACTTCAAGCTGCAGGATGGGAGGTGCCAAATGCATTCTCTTAATCACTGAGTCACAGTAACTTGTGTACTTGACAAGAGTCTAACAGATACTTACTAAATGGATGAATGAATAAATGAATGAATGAATGAAAATAAATAAATAAATCAGCTTTCTCCCTAGGAAAGAGAACTGACTATAACTCAGGACTTGCTTTTGGTCTCTGAAAGTGAGTCCAGCAGCTGAGCACAAACAAACACTACTTCCACTAGCACCATTTAGCCAGGGACCTTTGATTTTTCAGGACTGCATTCCTGAAATTAAACAGGCAAACATGCACCTCCTTCTCCCCTCATCCCACCTTGTTTTTCACAGACTGATGTAGTCTTTAAAGGTCGTAGAAGGGTCTCCTGTGTAGAGAATAGGGACACATTAGAGAACAGGGGTATGCAAAGCACTTCCTGTGCTGACAATGACAGTGTTTTTACTTCCTGTTCTGTGAAATGGGAAACGAGGGGAAGAGGGGCTTTGAGGATACTTACAGCCATACTGTGTTTGCTGTAGATTCTGATACTTGCATTACTATGACTATTTTCTCGTACTTCCTCCATAAGTTTCATTTCCAAGTAGGTAGATTTCACTATAGAAATAGATTTCACTGTACTCGGATGAGATTATTGAGTAGCCTTATGCTTTTGCAGCTTTTCCACCTAACACTCTACTAGGCATCTGAAGTTCTAAGCACCAGCACCAAGGTGGCACAGCATGGGTGTAGGCTCCAAAACACTGACTGATTGACTGAATTAATTAGGCTTAAATTAATAATAATTGCAAAGCCCTTAGTGCCTTGCTTTCCTTTCCCCTTGTGATAACCTTGTGAGATTGGATTTAGCTCCTTTGGCAGATGAGGCATCAGAGGCTCAGTGCTCAGTTGCTCATCCCAGCATCACCCAGTACCTTCAGTTCAAATCCAAACCCTCTGAAGCTCCATTCTTTTATTTATCCTCTCTGACTTTGCTTTCTCTCTCCTCTCCCTCGCACCAGGAAAGGAAAGGAAGCCCTGGGTAGAATGGCATCTCATCGTGCTCCCAACAGCCGTCTGCTTCGTTTTGTTAATCTTCTCACTCATCTGCAGAGTGTAGGTATTCATTCCATTCCCGGGCTGCATTTCCAGTCTGCTATGCAGCCCTTACACAGGGCTTCTGTTTATCAGGTAAAACTAACATTTTAGGATGCCTTTACCAGGAGGGGAGAGAGGAAACAAAAATAAAACATAGCATACAGCAACTACACAAGACACAGTCCTCAGCCACCTCACCTCCTCAAATCTACTGACTATTTTAATTTCTATTGAGGTTTTGGCCACTGTACATTTTTCTTTCACAGCTCCCCTTTCCTCACTTGTTTGTCTTTTGTCATCTCCTATAAAAAGGTCCAACCAAGTCTGAAGTCACTATACTGCCTTCCCATATAGGCCTCTGTGGTCAGGGGTTGACCTTTTTTCTTTCAAGTTCCTGGTCCAGTAAGGTAACTGTCTTTAGCTCAAGTGCAAATTCTCTAAAGGCTGCATAAATCTCAAGTCTCCCCTTCTGGTCTGCAAATGGCTACATATGATCTCCCCCACACCCACCCTTCTCTTTCCATCTATCACTAAGGCAAAGTTCTGGTTTAGCCCAAGAACTTACGATGTAACTACCATATTAAATGGCATTACTCATTACCAAGTTACATTATAGATGCTGAGTGTGGGTGATAGACAGCAGTTCAGAGGAATGGGAAAGAAAAGAGGGAACTGTGAAATTATTGCAGCTAAAGGAGGAAAGCCAGAATGAGTAGTGACTGGAGAAGCCAAGAGAAAGCTGCTGCTGACCGTCTTCAGAAGTTAGGCCTGGCAATGAGTGACAACGTGAATAAGTTCTGACTTCCTCTTCCCTGGAGATCTCAGAAGACAAATCCCAGCCTGGCAGCACCCCAAGGTCTTCAATGATGAAGATGTTTAGAAATCTTAGCCAACAGAGAGTCTAAATTTATAACACAGCTACACATGGAACTAATTTGTTCAATGTTTGAGTAGAAATCTAGGCAAGTGGATTGTTTATGCTCACCTAGCTTCTCCCCTATTGTCAGGTGTCACCTATGGACCAGGTTGTTTCCACCAGTTCCAGCCCCAAAGAGTAACATCGAAGATCTCCTTGTGGTGTCTGAATATGAGGTAATATTAAAAGACATAAAGAAGTGACATCCTAAGTGCCCAGGAATGAGTATCAGGTTATCAAGAGTCCTCTGTATGTCTATGTATATATGTACCAGCTAATACTTGTCTGAATGTATGTATATATGTATGTATATATGTATGTATGTCTCTCTCTCTCTCCCTGTCTCTCTTTCTCTTCATCTGTGAGTGAGTGTATGTGTGTGTGTATGTGTATAAAATTAGCTATAGATATTATTATTGTCTCTATATTTTAAAAAAGTGTTATTCAGTGATAAGGGCTCTTACCATTTAAACCTGAAGTTTCACTTCATTGACACTATCTTTTAACTGATCTTTGGTAATTCCTCTAAGAATGGGAATCTTAAGCTCCTTTTCTGTACAAAAGAGGAACAGAAGAGATCTTGAGAAAACAACGTTCTCAGGACTACTGTAGCTTTGTTGTAAAATTGACACCATGTAGGCTGAGGTCTAAAAGTGATCCCTGCAAGACATTTTGCTTTAATCTTTTGAATTATTACATATGTTTTAGAGCCCACCTATCAGTTTTCTATAAGGGGTAAAAGAGTGGTAAGAGGAGATGGGAGGAATATAGACAGAGGGAAAGTTTTTTCCCTTTAAGACAAGATATTACTATGTAGTTCTGACTTAACTAGGACTCACTATGTAGATCAAGCTGACCTTAAACTGACAGATCTTCTTGACTGCCTCTTGAATTCTGGAATTAAAGGCAGGAAACTGAAAGTCTCTGGTAAATCTGAATTTTTGTGTTTAATTGAGATGGGGGAGTAGCAATATTCTAATACTATTGTCAGCATGTCCATATATTGAGGTCTTTAGTTTGCTTCAGCAACATTTCAAGATTTTCTGTATATTTCTGTTATATTGAACTCTATTGACATTATCTTTCAGTAGATTGGCTATTGAGATAAAGGACAGCAAACTCTTCTGATAAAGACATAATAAACATTTAAGATAGAATTATTTGTTATAGTGTGTCTATGGCAAAGTATTAATGAATAAGCATGGCTGTGTCATAAAACTTTATTCACAAAAGGAAATAATAAACCAGACTGTGTTTCATTTACTAACTTCTGACTTAGATCCAGGAACTTTCCTAATAGACTTAGATGTTTCTTCAACCAATGTTGTTGAAGCATCTCATGGCTTGTTATAGAGGAAGACAGAGGTTGAAAAAGTCACCAAAATGGTTAATTTCAGCAAACCTCAGAGTTTGTTTACAGTCCTTTGCAGTTTCAGTTTGGAATAACTTTTAGAAAGTAGGTTACTAAGCAACTGAAGTAAAGAATTGATGCTGGCCAGAGAGTCATGGTGCCCTGTGTTTTATCCTTGTATTCTTCACTGAGGGAACAGCCTACCCATGCTGGCTCACATACAGTTCTTTGGAAAGAAACAAGCCATGTATAGATCTACCTCTGTTCATTTAAGTGTGACTGTTCCTTTCTCTTTGTTGTCTCATAAGAAAGCAGACTGGAGTCAAAAGTGACACTTCCACCTTTTGTCCTGTTCTCTTAATGGGACATTTGAAGAGCGATATCTAATTTCCCTATAGACCCTAGAAAGCTTCTGCTAATTTGCTGACACTGGTGAATGAAACTGATTTAAGAACTCACTTTCTGGGCTTCTGGATTGTTGATAATTAAAATCAAGTCATGTGTGTAGAATAATGACTTGGAGTAGACAAGCTGGTTTCAGAATATGCATAGGATTAAAGTCAAGATTGCCTGGCTTCTCAAGGTAACTTACTCTGTGCATCCATTGCAGAGTTTTACATGAAAGATTGTAGAGAAGAGAGAGGCAAGTGAGAAATATGAACAGATAATTAAGGACTGAAAAAAAGTTATATTATATGGTGTTACTAGTATTATGGCCTAAAAGTTCAACCTAAGATAGAGTGTGAGCAAGTAGAGAGCTGACCACAGCTGGATTACATGCAGTCATGTTGTTTTCCAGCCTGTCTACCCAAATGCAGCAGCTATTCATTATATTCCATTCCCAAGAACCCTGATCCAAGAAAAACATTATAATTTAAAAAAAGTTTAAAGACACCTGTAGGATATTTGGCATAATCCTAACACCTCTCTGGGTGTGTTAACTTTGCATCGTGACATTTTGAAATTAAAGAATTCTGCTCTGTTGACCTTTGATGCTACAGATAATGCTGATAAAATTATCCATGACCTGAGATGAGTACTTCCATTTTGGTCAAACCTCAGGAATGGCATATACAGTTTGATCAGGCTAGCCTTTCTTGTCCTGGGAATAATTTTATTCTTGCCCATCATGAGAAAGCTTATCTTTAACAACATCAAACATGGCTTGAACCTGAAAATGGAGCCCCAGACAGAGTTATTAAATTAACAGGCTGGCAAAACAAGGACAGGTAAGATTCTGCACAGTCTTACCAACCTAAGACAGAAGTTCATTGCTTTTGATAATGCATATTCCATGACTGGTAAGGAAGTCATTCTTGTCAGAATGACCTAAGACAGGCTCAGTCTTGCTAACGAAATAAAAAATGGGGAGAGGTAGAGAGCCTTTGGGGCTGCCTGGCAAAAAGCTGACATGGGCCAAGGACAAGGAAATGGGTGGCTTTGCAGGAATATGACATTGGCCAAGGACAAGGAAGCAGGCTCCAAGCAGTAATCTGACATTAAACTAGAACAAAGAAGTAATTTCAGGTAAGACTCTAAATTGTAGGCTACAACAAAGAAGTAATCTTAGGCTGGAATCTAAATATTAGGCTAGAATAAAGAAGCAATTTCAGACAAGAACCTAAATTTTAGGCTAGAACAAGGAAGCAATTTCAGACAAGAACCTAAATTTTAGACTAGAACAAGGAAGTAGGCTTCAGACATGAAAATGACCTTGGGGTAGGATAGGGAAGTAGGCTCAGATACTTTGGTCATCCTGATAAGTCTTTAGAAACAGTGATCTCGAGAGTATTCACATAACTGGGTTTTATGCCTTGCTTTTCTTTTGACTATTTGTGCTTATTGTATTGCTTGCTCTTCGACTATTTGCATCTAATGTGTTGCTAGAGCCTCAACCTAGAACTGACCTTAATATATGCATGTAATCAAAATGGTATAAAAGTATAAAGGAAGAGGGGGTATAGGATAGGGAGTTCTAGGGAGGGGAAATGGGGAAAGGGCATGACATTTGTATTGTAAATAAATTAAATATCCAATAAAAAAAAGAAAAAAAGAAAAAAAGAAAAAGAAAAAGAAGGTCCATTCCTGCCATTGCACCATGACCTCTGGGAAGCACCTTACTAGTGGAAAATGAAGCTCTCTATTTTGAGACTGATCCTTAATGATGAGGGTAAGGAAATGGTTCAAGATCGCTTGCAGATGTCAAAGGCTGTGATATTCAAATCTCTGATGTAAAATTGTGCAGCATTTGCTTAGACTCTACACATTCCATCCCACACTTTAAATCCTCTTAAAATTGCTACAAATAAGCCCAATTCAAATCCTGTGGGGGTAGCTATTACACTGCCTAGTCTGAGGAATAATAACAAGAACACTTGTCTGAAGCCAAAGATGCAAAATAGTGGGTTAGGGGCTCACTGTGACTTACACCTCCATACTTGGTAGGAATGCTCAAAATCACAGACCTCAGAAGCCAATGACCATCCTGGAGCTGTCGCTAAGCGAGGTTTTGTTTCTTCAGACTTTAGCATAGACATTATTTTACAATATTCAATAGAAAGTAACCATTTTTTAGATCTTACTTTAAATTTTTAAATTTATTAGAGATGAGATTCTAGATGACTTTTAGCAGTGGTAACCAGAGAGTTTTCTTCCCCCACATTATGCCCACTGTATAATATAAAGTATTTGTGATTCAGAACCATTTATGTTGTGTTTTTCTGATTATTCCTAATATATAACACTTTTTTGTGGAATGAAACACATGTTGAAAATGTTCTGGATGAGTACATGAGGGAAAATAATCTATTATAGGTGATATTTTTAACATTATTTCTCATTATCAATAGCTGTACGTGTTATATCCAAAATTAGATAAAACAAAAGCTCCAACTTACTAGAACATTTTTATTTTTTGAGACAGGGTCTCATATAGTTTAGATTGGATGTATGGCTGAATATTATTTCAAATTTCTGATCCTCCTGCCTCCACCTCTGAAGTGCTGGAATTACTGGGTGTCTGCAGTGAAGGGGATCTAACCCAGGATGTTGTATATGCTAGCATAGCACTATACTAACTAAATTACATCTTTAACCTCAAATTTATATTATTGTAATCCCTGAGTGGAATACTTTGGAAATATTAAAAATAATCACATCAGATTGGGGTGTATCTCAGGAGTAGAATACCTGCATAACATGTACAAGGCTTTGGGGTTAAAACCTGAACACCACCACCACCACAACCTCCTAAATACAAAAATACTTAAAATATTATATGATGTTATAAAGAAAAAAAACCCATATACCTACGCAAAGGCTAGGGCAATATATCTCAATGGCAGAAGATCCACAACAACAATAATAATCCAGTTTATAAAGATAAAGCTGCGTGTCCCTATTACTTCATCACAATTGTAATAGTAAGCTTTATGCTTCAAGAAGGGCTGAGGACACGCAATAGGGTATATATGGGAAATAAGTTTATAGATACATTTTCTTCTTCCCACTTGACTTTTCCTAGTTTCTAAACATACTACTGTTCCTACTGTTCTTTAAAAGTTACTTCAACCCAACTGTAGAAAACAAAACAAAACAAAACAAAACCAACCCAAAAAACAAAACAAAAACAGAAACAAAAAAGAAATCAAAGATAAAATGTTCTCTAAAAGACATGTAAGGAAGATGCTTTGTTTTACAGAAACCTTCGAATGAAACCAAAATTGAAGTTGTACAATGTGTGGAAGAAGTTGGATTTGAAGTCACGGAAAATTCCATGTTTTGATGGCATTGCGACATTCTGAAATGAACTCATACAGGACTCTGTGATAAGAGCAAGACTGATATTTCTTGGCAAGGAGGTATTTCAAACGAACACTCAGTTTGATTTCAAGTCACCAACACATCCAGACACATGAGTCATCAATGTACCATCTCTTATAATGTGCATACCTCACCCAAACCTCCTTCCAGAGCAACAGATTCATCCGGGCATGGGCCCTTGGTTTCCTACACAGAGTACCACGTTGCTTGGTTATACCAATGTGTCTTTGCAATTTGCATGACTTACCTTGAACTCTTTGAACAGGAGACAGTTTTTCAAGCTAAGGTCACACATGTTTACTTTGGGTTAAGTTGCCAGGGATAGCACTCAGCTATATTGACAGGAAGAAAAGGTGGAACTCATCCAGAATCAACTCAAATATAAGATTGTCTTTCCTGCAGCAAGTGGGAGACACAATTTCATGATGCTTTTCCCCTTTGAGTTCTAGAATACTTTTCTTCCTAGAACTGTGCCTATGTTTTAAGGCATAGGATGACACGGAGGTGGAAACAAAGAGTATGTACCATTTGTTTCTATGTTCCACAGGCCTGTTCAAGGAAACATCTAAGCCAAAGTAAGTTTAAAAACATGCACTAAGTCATCATGACTGGGGCTGAGGAGATGGCTCAGTTAATAAAGCATGAGGGCCTGAGATTGATCAACCAGCATCAAGGAAAAATAAAAACAACAACAATGACAAAAATAGTGCAAACAGAACATGACTATAATCCTAGAGTTGGGAAACAAAGAGAAGAGGCTCCATGGGAGTTGTTGGCCAACCGTTTAGCCCAATAGGTTGTTTCTAGGTTCACTGAGAGATATAGTCTTAAAAATTTAAGGTGGAGAGTGACTGGGGAGAACCCCTGATACTGACCTCTGCCCTACATATACATACACATGTACACACACGAACATACACACTAAAGACAGCATTCCCTACTGAGAGGGAAGACAGGAGTTTGTTCAAGGATTATATTCTTCAAGGCTTCTATGTACTCTGGAAATGAACTGAGAAGGACATTGAACATAATTCTGCTGTGGAAGTGATTGCTGGATCTAGAATTTACTTCCCACAGAGATATTTGATGAAAGAATATGGCAACTTATTGGTCAACTAATGCTTAGTCAACCTTAATCTCTTAAACTAGGGTTTCCTATAAGCCATTTCGGTACATATTGACAACCATATAGAAATATATTCACTAAATATCTTCATATGAAGCTGTATCTATAGGTATTTTTCATGGACAATGGGCTGAACATAGAGGCAAACACAACTAGGTGTTGGGAAAAGGAATAATGAGTGACAGAAGGAACCCTAATGGTGTTGATTTTACATAGCCCTGAAGAGCTATGAGACAATGAAAAAAGACAAAGACACTCAAAATCCACACCATGGCTCACATTTTATATACTTTATAGAGCTGGTTTAGTCAGATTTCATAATCTGGGTGAGGTTTACATGGAGTACCAAGTATCCCTTCCATGGCTTTTATGCAATAGCATATAACCATACACAATTCTCTGCTCAGAATGAAAGATATATCAGTAATAAACAACTGCCAATATTAGATCTTCTCTGAAGGGTCAGAGCACCATACCAGATTCTCTGCACTGTCTCTTTGCTCTTTACAAGTCTGTACTTTGTCACAGTCATATGTGTTATTGTCCCTCTCCATTAATGATACAGTAAATTGGGATGAGGAAGGTCAACTTCCAGGAAAGGGTACAGTAGTGAGCTGAATATCAGATTCAGAGGAGCTCCGTAACACACAAGAGACTATCTTCACATAAAAGTTGAAGTTGGCTTTAGGAGTCAGACTAGGAAGTTGAGGCTAATGGAAGTGTTGCTATAAGACACAAAGTATTTATTTCAACTAACTGACCAAGAATCTATGAAATAGTACTAAGGACTCTCTTTAGTGGACACAGGTCTGACTCAGCAGGTCTGGGTTGGAGTCAAGAATTAGCAAGATCAGCAAATCTCAAGTAGGCTTCTGCTGTGGATATGTATACCACACTTTGATAAATTATTAGGAACATCACAACTTGAAAGCTGCCTGATAAAAGAATAACAGATGGAAATGATCAACCCCAAGCATTCTCTGTCTCTATTCTTGCAAACAAAGCATAGAGACACCATTTTGGAAACCAACCTCTATCTAAGAGGTCAGACCAGAAGAGGGAACGGGGAGCTGCCCCCGTACAAGGCCAGTTGTTCATGTGTATAGTTCTATCTTCAGAGTTGCCTCATTAGACCTAGAAGCCAGAACTCCTCTGGGCTTCACAGATCTCCTGAATTTGTCCTTGGCTGGTGCTGTCATCTAATTCTGGTGCATGTCTAAAAAACAATACAAATAGTCCATGTGGCCATGTCAACATGTTGTGGAAGTATTCTTCCTGATTCTTGAGTTGTGACAATCATTCTTTGGAAATAGATAGCCAATATTATCTTTTCTATGAAGGGTTCACAATCAGTTGGTCGACCATATCTCTGGGGTCTCATTGTGAGCCTGTGTACTAGACAATGTAGCCAACAGTTTATCTGTTTCTCTGCTTGACCATATGCCCCAGGAGTGCTAACACTGTGTGTATGAGTTGCTGGGTCTAGAACAGTACCTAATTTTTAAGAACTACATATGGTTACAGGATTTGAGAGATGATGACCCAGAAGTTAAGAGCACTGATTGTTATTCAAGAGGATATAGGTTTGATTTCTAGCACTTGGATGGTGGCTCACAACCATCTATAACTCAGGTCCCAGGGGATCTGATGCACTCTTATATAGCTGGCATTTGCTACTTTGTGGGTTCTTTCTTTCACCCTTCTCCATCCCTCCCCCCTCCCCCGTTCAATTTGCTAATACTAGATTAAGGGAAAAAAGGATAGAGAGGAAGGAAAAGAGATCACTGATTAAAATCAGGGGTTGAAAAGCGGTGATGTTTTCCTTAGACTACTTCCTGCCGAGTAGGGTCATGGTGTTCCTTGATGCAAGTTTGATTATCACTGTCATGATATCTAATTTCTTCTTCTTGTTATTTCTTCTTTGTGCATAACTACTTAACAAACTGTGACCAATGGCAGCCAACAGTCTACCATCATCACCAACAACAACCATAACTACCACCACCACCACCACCACCGCCACCACCACCACCACTGCCACCACCACTACCACCACCACCATGATCATAACCACCACAAACCACCACCACCACCAAACAAACCACTAACATTCAGGGCCCTAGCATTTATATGCCCTCAAGACCTCAGAATTCCAAACGTCACACAATTGCAGAAGTATCTTCAGCTGACAAATCCTGTCACCCACCCTCACTCCTCACTATAGAATGAGGCAAATCATAGTCAGCTGCTGAAGCCCCATATCCCACACCTGTGATTTAAAAAAAAATTCATAGTTTTGAATTTTTTAAAAAGAAATAAAAAATTCAAAATTTTCAGGCAGTGTCTCTCACTGAACATACACTTTTATGGCTTTGTAGGCACTGGCATACAAGTGGTACACAGACATACATTCCTGAACATTCATACACATAACATTTAAAAAATTATGGTTAGTGAACCAGCTAATGGTCTCTTAGCCCAGGCACAGCACTTTGCATATATTTTTAAAATTCAACTCTATTCAGCAGAGATTATCAAGACCTTCAATGGCAGAGAAAGAAAGATAGGTATCTAATAGGAATATAATTGAAAGTACCTCGGAGACACCTTGTGGTTGATAGAAACTGAGTGCAGTACTGATTCTCACTGGCTTAGGGCAGGGACCCACCTTCCTCATAGATCCCTCACAGCCACAGCATATGGACGAACAGTGGTTCTCCAAGATATTCTTTATAACGAATAGTTCTTTCCTTGGTACTTGGAATTCACTGAGAGTGCTACAAGGGGAGTTTGAGGAGACTGGGATGGGGGGGATGAAGCTTATGTCTGCAACAGCCAAACCACCGGAGCCTCATTGAAATGCCTTGGGTGTCAGCTATTTATACTAGCTGGGGAAGAAGCCACTTGGGCGAAGAACATCCTGCTTAAAAATCCAAACGTTTTGGAGGTAAGACTTGTGTGTGTCAAGGCCATCTGTTGATGAAATTCATGAACTGTAGGTGCTAATTTGTTAAAGAAGAAGTAAATTGCTGGTGAGAACTGAGGACCATAAACAATCTTTGATGGTTGGAGAAAGGTGATGAGCCTGGTTGGAGCAGGACCTAGTGTTACTCTCAGGATTCTTGTGACAAAAGCTATGGAACTGCTTCTGTTTTCAAGTCCCAAACATAGTGTTCCAGGATACAGACTTTTTAGAATTTTGTATTGAATTAAATGACATTTCTATTTTCTCCAGCATTGTTAGGGAGTAGATGTGAATATAAAGTGGTTCAAGACTGAAACCCTTTAACATAAAGGATTTATCTAAGTCTATCTATTCAAGACAGATATAGTTCTGATTTTCCTGAGTAGACATTTCCCCCTTCTGTTTTAATCATCTCTCATGGAGCATTTGTAGGAGCCTCTGAAGTGAATTTCTAATCTCCAGAATTTCCTCTCTCTTAAAGGCATATTTTTCTGTACTCTGTCCAAAACCCTAAAAGAGTACTTCTTTAAATCAAAGCTCATCGGATCAAGAAGTTCATTGTTACCTGGTTTCTCCAGCAAAACTGCACAAAATCCAATCTCTATTCTTCTTCTTTTCCTCATGACTGCTTACGTTTTCTCCAGTGGAAAAAGCCTTCTCATTCTTTTCACCATCTTGTGAAACCTGCATCTTCCAAGATTGAGGTCTTTGACACATTCAAGTTGCCCTTCAATTTCCTATTTGACTGATGTACCCTATACGTTTGTCAGATGCCTTCTGTGTAATGCATACACCAATCAACTTTTAAAATTTATTTTGTAAATACTCTGAGGTCAAGAAAGGTTCTCTATGTACTTTCATTTACATAGGCCCTTGGTAGGAACTGAGTACTGGCTGAGCTGAGCAAGACAGAAGAAATGGAAGCATCCAACAGATAATTAGAACTCTAACTCAGACGCACAGAAGTGACCATCATATAGTGTAATAGCAATTCACAGTTGATGTCACTCATTTGATCTGCAGACATCCAGCTGCTGGTGCCCCTGCATGTGCGCATGCATGCAGAGTACCCAAGCCGTAGCATTCAGAAGTGCCTGCTCACTGAGTGCTTCCCCAGCTTTGTTAGCCATTTGGTAATTAACATAGATATCAGAAACACAAGGTAGCCCAGGTGTGTTACATTGAAAATTTAATGTGCTTTTATTTTCCACTAAAAGGGTGTTATTAATTTCATTTCTTTTATTCAAATTGAAAGCAAAGATTGGTCCCTAGTAGGTGATAAAAATGCAACAATACATAAACCTGGGAGGAGGAGGAGGAAGAAGAAGAGGAAGAAGAAGGAAACAATAAAGTAGTGTATAGTTTAAAAGCAGTTAGCTTGTAAACGTTCCTATTGAGGACTCTATGGTCTGTGTTGCAGCTTCATATCTCTGACATAACACGAGATGCTCGTGGTTGTGTTCTCATATTTACTTACAGAAAGTAGAACAATGGGCTAGCTTTCACAGGTGGCTCAATATTTTACTTGTACATAGCTGAATGAACTCCAAATATGTTACTTCAAAGGTCTTGTTCCTTTCGAGTTGTTTGGAAAACAACCAATTTGAGAAAATGTTTAATCCAATAAAAACATTTTCTTTTGAGCTGTGTTGGTGAGAGACACGGTTGCTCCACTGAACTTAACCTTGTAACTGAAAACACCTTTGTTCCTGTTTTTAATAGCATGAAAACACCTTTGTTCCTATTTTTAATCTGTCTGAATTTTAATGCCATATTTCAGATACTTTCATGCTTTGATCTTCTCCAATAAACTGTATAGAGAAACATCT